CAGGAGCGCCCGGAACTTGGATCCCTGGGCACGGTCGGCAGGGTAGGGAGGAAGGTCGGCGGAGCGCCCCGAGGGCTGACCCGGCGGAGGCGCCCAGGCCGGCACTAAGGCGCTACCTTCCAAGCGGACGCCACGGGCACCCGAACCGGTTGAGCACTGGGTCTCTCACCCGAGGCGCCTCGGGTAAGCTCAGTTACTGCTTTTAGCCAATCGGAGAGCCGCGGGCGCCTTCTCCCCGCCCTCTAGCTCGGTCCGCTCTTTTCATTGGTGGCTCCCAGAGTAGTCATATGCTCTCTCTCTCTCTCTCTCTCTCTTTTTTTTTTTTATACGCGCTCTCTATACAATGACCAATAGGAGAGGGAATCAACAGTGTTGAAGGCGTGGTCTCCTAAACTTGGCACCGCCCCTACATCCGCCCAGAGCGGCTGCCTCAGGCGCCTTCGGTTTCTCTCCGCGGCGCCTTCCTCTGGGCTACAGTGGCTTTGCGTCTCCCGCCGCGTTTTGTTTTTCCGCCCGCCGCTAGCGCGTGCGCACTGCAACGGGCTGATGGCCCTGAAACCAGAGCGCGCTGCTAGAGGGGGAGGGACCCTAAACGGCGGTCGCCTGGGTCCGGGCGGCCAGCAAACAGCCCGAGGTGGCTGCCGCCGCCGGCGGGCTCCCAAAGCAGCGATGGTAAAACCAAAAATACTTAGTGAGGTCCCACCGAGATTTGAACTCGGATCGCTGGATTCAAAGTCCAGAGTGCTAACCATTACACCATGGGACCCGCTGGCTGCTCCAGGCGGCCGAGCGCCTTCTCAAGCCGCAGAGCGCCGTGCGCGGCCTCGGCCACGCATCGCCGTGCGCGCGCCTGGGCCCGGGACCACCCGAGACGCGCGCAGGGGCGCGGGGCGACTTCCGCGTCCCGCGCGAGCCGAGCGTTCCCGGCCCGGGCTGTCCTCCTCCGCGTCCTCCCGGGCCCGGACCCGCGCCCCGGACGGGACCAGAGACCGCAGGGCCCGGGCGCCAGGCTTGGCACGCGCAGCCCGAGCTTCCCGCTTTCTGCTGTTTGTTTATCTATTAACGCGGGTGCTTCGGTTCGGGGGACGCTTTGGCCGAGCGGGGAGGGAAGCGGACTGCCACAGAGGGGACTGGGGTTCAAGCCTCCCCCGCCCCGGGGAGGCCATGTGGCCGGAGCTGTGCGAGGTCCGCGCGTCGGACCCGAGACAGAGGTGCGCCCCTCCCGTACCCCCAGCCTGCAAGGCGTCACAGTCAGTCAACGTGCACTCGGAGTGGACGTGGACAGAGCCACGCGGCAGCAGCCTTCCCTTGGGGACAGGACCCTACTGCGGTCCTTGGACAGATACGGGGGACCATCCGCACCGTAGTGTTGTTATAGTCCATGCGCTAACTAGTGCGCAACAGGGTAGGATATTAGCCAGGCGCGGCGGCGCGCACTCGTGATCCCAGCGTTCGGGAGGCTGAGGCAAGAGGATCCCCGTGGGTTGGAGGCCAAGCCAGACTATTTAGTGAGACCCTGTCTCAAAAAACGTTTTAAAAATAGGGAATAACTTACTGTACTGACAGAAGAGACATACAAGCCAAGCCACACCGAAACTCTCCTTACCGATTAGCACATACAATAGATCCCCGCTCACCTACAGGAAAGCTCCACGCCTGCTCCCGCAGTGGGGCCAGGCGACGCGTCCCAAGGGGCCCTGCTTTGCTTGGAGCCGGGGCTGAGGCACACGAGCCAACAGCGCCGCCTTGTGGCAGGGGAGCAGGGCGCCGTGAGTCCCGGTTGCGCCTCCACCTCTATGGGCCAGGCCCCTTCGAAGTGTCAGGTGTGGGCTGTGGCTTTGATGCCCTTTATTTTCAAAAAAAGCAAGCATTCACATTTTCTTCTCATAGTGAATGTATTCAGTTTCTCTTTTAAAGTAATTACATTCTCTTTTTAGATTTTAAAGGTAAAACCATTTATTATAGAAAAACACAGAAAGGTCCATACATCCAGTCTTTCTTGAGGAGCTGGGATCAGAGAGGGACATAAATGGGACGTGGTGGCACAGGCCTGCGATCCCAGCACTCGGGAGGCTGAGGCAGGAGGATCGCCAAGAGTTGGAAGCCAGCCTGGGCTACATAGGACAGGGTTGCACTTTGTACTTCAGGCTGGCCTTCAACACTCCATCCTCCTGCCTCAGCCTCCTGAGGACTGTGATTACATGTGTGTGCCAGGATGCCCGACAGTTTTAGAATCATAAAAGAAAAACCAGAGGTACAGTACAATTTGAAGGAGTTTATTTAAGTTAAGAAGCAATTCACACACCCATGTTCTTTGGCTGCTTGTGATTGGCTGGGGTTAAGTTTCATTGCTAATGTAAGGATTTACCAAAAATGATCCAGGTTAGGTTTTGCTTACGTTTGCAGTTTAAGCAAGGTTAAGGCTGTCTTTAAGGCCCAGGTGTTTTGTTTTGTTTTTCCTGGCGCTGGGGACTGAACCCAGAGCCTTCACACTAAGTTATATCCCCAGCCCTTTGTAAATATTTTTATTTTGAAACAAGGTCTCACAAGGTCACTACATTGCCTGGGCTGGGCTCGAAGTTGAGATCCCCCTGCCTCAGCCTTCTGAGTGCTGGGGTTTCCGCTGTGAGTCCCCGCGCCCGGCTCTCTGTTGGTTTTGCGTGCTCTGGAACTCTTTGGGCCCCTTATGGATTTTAATTGTGCTTTAACTGCGTTCCCTAGCCCCCGATTGCCAATATAAAGAATGGCGTCCTACCTGACTTGCGAGAGGCCCAGGCCCACAGGGACCCAGGACCTTGCCCCACTGCTTCGCCGACCTTCGTTCCACCAAGATGTCCACTTTCTGTCACCATAGCAACCCGACCCAGCTGCCACCGTGTCCTGCGAGGCTAAGAATTTCTAAGTGCAAAAGCCTCGGAAGCAGGAAGGTGCGGAATACTTCGGTTTGTAATCTACAAGGTCCCCGCTGCCCTGATCAGTGATTGGTCCATTCCTAATGACCCTTACACGTTGATTGGCCCATCCACTTGCCCTGAGTCGGCTCATTGGTAGCCTGCACCTTCTAGATGCCCACAGCCAATCAGGCCCGAGCTTTACGTGGAGCACAGGAAATGGTTCTTGAAGTAGTGTAGCGCCAGTTTGAACTGGATCTGCTCTTTCGTGTTGGCCCGGTAGGTGCTGTAGTTCCTCTCCAGCGCCGCCAGCTCCCTGTCTGTCACCGACAAGCGGGTCTGGTGACCTATCACCACCTCTGGGCACGAGCCCACCAGCAGGCTGCCCAGCCCGTCTACAAAGAACTCTGCGGAGAGAGCGCGAGAAATGGGAACTGTCACCGGGCCGGCAGGGGACCCAGCGGTGTTTGTTTTGAGACAGCGTCTCGCTTTGTGGTTCCGGCTGGCCTTGAATTCGCAGGGATCCTCCTGCCTCAGCCTCCCCAGTGCTGGGACCGTGTGCACCACTACGCCCGGCCACCAGTTACTTAATGGAAAGGGATTTCTGGAAAGAGAAGTAGGACAGGAAGAAGGGAAGGGACGGAGCTGCAGGGCCGGAAGAAGAAGGGTGTGCGGGGTGGGGGGTGGGGTGTCTAGAGTGGGAAGAGGGAGAGACCGCAAGCTCCCTAGTTTGGGGTGAAGGGGACAAGGGCCCGCGGGTGTGGCCCTTGTCTTCCTGGGCGTCCCCAGCCTGCCCGTCCTCATGCCCACCTAGGTGAGCCACCCGCTGCAGTCGGGGATCAAAGCCAACTCTTTGGAGCCGCTCGGTGTGGGCCAGGAAGAAGTTGACGACCCCGCTGGTGACCACGCAGCCGGGGAAGCCGTCCAGGGGCTGGAAGGACCCCGACCTCCGGTGAATGCAGTCCCCGTCCTCGCCCTGCTCCAGGAACAGCTTGAACTGGAACACGTTTCCCTGCACGCTGCCGCCCACCTAGCAGGCCGACAGGGAGACTGGGTTTCGTCCAGCCTCCTCCAGGAAGCCTCCCCAGATTGCATCTCCCTTACACCAAGAAACAGTTTCCAGCTGTCACGATGGTGTACGCCTGTCATCCCAGCGCTCCAGAGGCTGAGGCAGGAGGATTGCCATGGAGGCAAAGGCAGGGCTCACACCTCTCCTGGTTCCAAGTGCCACGCTCTCGGTGCTGGAGCCGGACCTGCCCTGTCCCAGTCCTGCGGCGGCCTCCTCCCCCTCCCTTCCCCCTACTCCGTCACTCCAGGCCACACCGGGCACACGGCCACCACCCCTTACCACATCCAGCTCTGTGTTCTCCAGGACCTCGACCAGCCTCTCAATCTTGCTCTTGGGGGTGAAGAGGAAGTCGTCGTCCACCCAGAGGACGTACTTGGTAGTGACCTGAGAGATGGCCAGGTTCCGCCCCGCAAACCAGCCCTGTAAGCAGCAGGTCAGATCGGCAGTCACCGCCCCCCAGCAGCTCCACAGAGTCCCTGGGGAGATTCCTGGGTCCCCAGGGCCAGGCTGTGCCCGAACAGATGAAGCCACAGCCTACGGGGTGAACCCCGGGTCCAGGCGGGGCTGACAACCGCTGGCTACGGGGAGTCCAGGTCTCAGGAGAGCTCGGGAGGTGACGGTGACTTTTTTTTGAGACAGGATCTCACTATGTCACCCAAGCTGGCCTTGAACTCCCAGCAAGCCTCCTGCCTCCGCCTCGGAAGTGTTAGGAGTACAGGCGGGCACCACCACGCTAGGGTGACCGTCGGTAGCCTGGGTGGATTCGTGGGGACGAGCAACGCATTGAATGTTGGATCAGGAATCCCTGGGATGCAGACACAGGGTCGGTTCTAGACCATCCCCGCAATCTCCACACCGGTATGGAGGAGGCTGGAACAACCACCCCATTCATGCTGAACCCTGCGGGCGATTCACTCAATCTGGTTCACAGGGGGACTCAGAGGAGGGGCGTGGCGCCGGGCACGGAGGCCGCACCTTCCCGAAGGGCATGATGTAGTGCTCCACGTGCTCATCGTCGATCTTCACGGGCTGGTTGCCGTCGTCAGCCACGACCACCGTCAGGTCTGGGTAGAACTCCCGGATGCTCCGCAGCAGGACCTTCAGCTTGTGGGGGCGCTGGAACGTCTTGGTGGCGATGGTCACCAGGTTGCGGAGCTTCCTGTCTGGACACAAACGGGGCGGCCAGAGTCTGCCTCCAGGGAAGGCTTGCTGCCTCCACATGGGACCTGCTTTCTTATTTTTGAGGCAGGGTCTTGCTATGTAGCCCAGGCTGGCCTCAAACTCACGTCGGTCCTCCTGCCTCAGCCTCCCGAGCGCTGGGATTGCAGGCATGCACCACCATGCCCAGTGCCTGCTTTCTTATTTTTGAAACAGGGTCTCGCTGTGTAGCCCAGGTTGACCTTGAACTCACTTTGAAGCCCAGGCAGGCCTCAAACTCATGGCAGTCCTCCTGCCTCAGCCTCCCGAGTGCTGGGACAGCAGGTGTACACCACCACCTCTGGTTTAGTTAAGTATTATTAAGCAGTGTAGGGGACCGTATCCCAGAATTTCTTTCCTGCACACAAATCTCAGGAATTATCTCAGGCCTGTATTTGATCAGTTCCCCTACAGCTCCGAGGGCCCCCATTTCACCAGGGCTCACTGTGCTCCATGGGGCGCGGGCCGGGGCTCACCTGGTCCCGGGTCATACAGCTTGGGGATGACAGGGAAGCGGATGCTCACGGGGAACTTGGCCACGGCGGACATGGATTCCAGGCTCACTGCAGGAAGAAGCGGTCAGAGCCGGCAGCGGCCTCCGCAGATCAAAGCCCACGCTGCCCAGGAATCCGGGGTGGTGGGCAGTGGGGGGCCCGGGGGGATCACCCCCCTCCCCAGTTAATGATGTTTGGGCTCCTGACTTGCGGGATGTCCGGAGGCAACCACTGGGTGGCGCTAAACGCAGCCTCTCCCTGCGTGTGTGGGGGGGTGGGGTGGGCTTCCGGTCCTAGGGTCGGGGTTGTCTTATTGGTTTGTTTGTTTGTTTTTTCTTTTCTTTTTTTTTTTTTTTTTTTTTTTTTTTTTTTTTTTTTTTTTTTTTTTTCTCCTGTACCGGGAACCGAACTCATGACCTTGCGCTTGCCAGGCAGGCGCTTTTGCTGCTGAGCTAAATCCCCAGCCCCTTTTTTTGTCTTTTTTGAGACAGGGTCTCCTTATGCAGTTCAGGCTGGCCTTGAGCTCACTTTGTAGCCCAGGCTGGTCTGGAACTCGCAATGATCCTCCTGCCTCAGCCTCCCAAGTGCTGGGATGACAGACGTGCACCACCACGCCCAGCTGTCTTATTGTTTTTTGAGACAGGGTCTCGCTGTGCAGTCTAGGCTGGCCTCGGCCTTGCAGCGATCCTCCTGCCTCAGCCGCTCACAGGCTTGTGCCACCTCAAGACAGCTTTGAGCACGGCGCAGGTGGCTGCCGGAACCCAGGAGCTACGGCTTGGGTAAGGGGCCACCTTGTCCACGGGTGGATGCGGCAACGTGGGGACGGCACTGGGTAGACTAAATGGGAAGTTAAGTGTCGGGGGTTGGGGATGGGCCCCTGGAGGGGAGGGGAGGACCCCGCAGCCCGAGCGCTTTCGGAGCAGAAGCCTCACCCACGTCCACGCGGTTGTGCAGGTAGCTGGTGCTCGTGTAGGTCACGTGCTGCAGGACGAAGTTCAGCAGCTTCCGGTCACTGGTGGAAATGTTCAGCCGCTTCTGGCCCCTGCCCTGCACCACACCGTCTGCGACGTCAGCAAGGGTGTTCAGCGTCCCCAGAGTGGCCGTCAGGGTGACCTGGGGGGCCATCAGGCACTCATGGCTGTGCACCCTCCAACTACCGCCACACACGTCTAGACCGTCTCTGTCTCCCGCACTGCAACTTCACGCCCACTCAACCATAACGCAGGCCGGGCGAGGTGGCGCACGTCTGTGATCCCAGCACTCGGGAGGCTGAGGCAGGAAGACTGCCAGGAGTTTGTGGCCAGCCTGGACTACAGAGTGAGCTCCTATGTCAAAACGAATAAAAACACCTCTCCTCCCCTTCCAGACGACAGCCGGGCGTGGTCTTCCAAACAAAACGATGCAAAATGCACCAGGTGGGAGAAGTTGCTTTCCTGAGACAGGCACGTACCCAGCGTGGCCAGCAGGGGGCAGAGCACACCGAAGTGCGAGGCAACAGGGACTTCTCTTATTGAAGGCCCTGGCTGCAGACCTCCCTGTCGCGAGGCCTGCAGGTAGCATTCTTCTAGACTTCTGACTCTGTCTGCTCCTCATTCATTCATTCATTCACGTAGCCCAAGCTGGTCTAAGAGTCACAATCCTCCTGCCTCAGCCTCCCACACACTTGGACACAACCACAAATGTATTTTGAAAAGTAAAATTCAGCCAGGCATGGTGGCGCACACCTGTAATCCCAGCACTCGGGAGGCTGAGGCAGGAGGATCGTTGCGAGTTCGAGACCACCCTAAGCTACAAAGTGAGCTCAAGGCCAGCCTGAACTGCAGAGTGAGACCCCTTCTCAAAAAGACAA